CCAGCACCGGGCACCGTGACCCTGCCACCAAGAGCAGAAGGACCCAGAGGCCACCAGGACCCCTCGTGGAGTGGCTGGAACCCCCCAAACACCGCACCCCGGGTCCTCCTGGTCCTTGGTACCTGCTGGTTCCCCCCCGTTCCGCATCTGGAGCATCCCACCACCATGGAGGGAGAAGCTGAAGCTCCTCAGCCAGCATTTCAGAAACAGCTGGGCTTCCCCAAGGAGTCCTGGAGCCACGAAAGCTCCATAAATCTCTAACCCTATTGGAAATATATTAATGTCAATGCATTTAATTGGTTTTCTTTTTAACACAACAGTGCCGAGCCCACCCAGTCGGGTGGCAGTGGCTGGAGGGGGACAGGGAACCAGGGTGAGCACCCCATGCCCAGCACCGGGCACCGTGACCCTGCCACCAAGAGCAGAAGGACCCAGAGGCCACCAGGACCCCTCGTGGAGTGGCTGGAACCCCCCAAACACCGCACCCCGGGTCCTCCTGGTCCTTGGTACCTGCTGGTTCCCCCCCGTTCCGCATCTGGAGCATCCCACCACCATGGAGGGAGAAGCTGAAGCTCCTCAGCCAGCATTTCAGAAACAGCTGGGCTTCCCCAAGGAGTCCTGGAGCCACGAAAGCTCCATAAATCTCTAACCCTATTGGAAATATATTAATGTCAATGCATTTAATTGGTTTTCTTTTTAACACAACAGTGCCGAGCCCACCCAGTCGGGTGGCAGTGGCTGGAGGGGGACAGGGAACCAGGGTGAGCACCCCATGCCCAGCACCGGGCACCGTGACCCTGCCACCAAGAGCAGAAGGACCCAGAGGCCACCAGGACCCCTCGTGGAGTGGCTGGAACCCCCCAAACACCGCACCCCGGGTCCTCCTGGTCCTTGGTACCTGCTGGTTCCCCCCCGTTCCGCATCTGGAGCATCCCACCACCATGGAGGGAGAAGCTGAAGCTCCTCAGCCAGCATTTCAGAAACAGCTGGGCTTCCCCAAGGAGTCCTGGAGCCACGAAAGCTCCATAAATCTCTAACCCTATTGGAAATATATTAATGTCAATGCATTTAATTGGTTTTCTTTTTAACACAACAGTGCCGAGCCCACCCAGTCGGGTGGCAGTGGCTGGAGGGGGACAGGGAACCAGGGTGAGCACCCCATGCCCAGCACCGGGCACCGTGACCCTGCCACCAAGAGCAGAAGGACCCAGAGGCCACCAGGACCCCTCGTGGAGTGGCTGGAACCCCCCAAACACCGCACCCCGGGTCCTCCTGGTCCTTGGTACCTGCTGGTTCCCCCCCGTTCCGCATCTGGAGCATCCCACCACCATGGAGGGAGAAGCTGGAGCTCCTCAGCCAGCATTTCAGAAACAGCTGGGCTTCCCCAAGGAGTCCTGGAGCCACGAAAGCTCCATAAATCTCTAACCCTCTTGGAAATATATTAATTTAAATGCATTTAATTAGTTTTCTTTTTAACACAACAGTACCGAGCCCACCCAGTCGGGTGGCAGTGGCTGGAGGGGGACAGGGAGATGGGGTGAGCACCCCATGCCCAGCGCCGGGCACCGTGACCCTGCCACCAAGAACAGAAGGACCCGGAGGCCACCAGGACCCCTCGTGGGGTGGCTGGAACCCCCCAAACACCACACCCCGGGTCCTCCAGGTCCTTGGTACCTGCTGGTTCCCCCCTGGAGCATCCCACCATCGTGGAGGGAGAAGCTGGAGCTCTTCACTGGTGCTTAGAGAAGCATTTCAAAACAACTGGGCTTCCCCGAGGAGTTCTGGAGCCACGAAAGCTCCGTAAATCTCTAACCCTCTTGGAAATATATTAATTTAAATGCATTTAATTGGTTTTCTTTTTAACACAACAGTGCCGAGCCCACCCAGTCGGGTGGCAGTGGCTGGAGGGGGACAGGGAGATGGGGTGAGCACCCCATGCCCAGTGCCGGGCACCCATCATGGGAAGGGGTGACAGTGGGGTCACTCAGGACCCCTCGTGGAGTGGCTGGAACCCCCCAAACACCGCACCCCGGGTCCTCCTGGTCCTTGGTACCTGCTGGTTCCCCCCCGTTCCGCATCTGGAGCATCCCACCACCATGGAGGGAGAAGCTGAAGCTCCTCAGCCAGCATTTCAGAAACAGCTGGGCTTCCCCAAGGAGTCCTGGAGCCACGAAAGCTCCATAAATCTCTAACCCTATTGGAAATATATTAATGTCAATGCATTTAATTGGTTTTCTTTTTAACACAACAGTGCCGAGCCCACCCAGTCGGGTGGCAGTGGCTGGAGGGGGACAGGGAACCAGGGTGAGCACCCCATGCCCAGCACCGGGCACCGTGACCCTGCCACCAAGAGCAGAAGGACCCAGAGGCCACCAGGACCCCTCGTGGAGTGGCTGGAACCCCCCAAACACCGCACCCCGGGTCCTCCTGGTCCTTGGTACCTGCTGGTTCCCCCCCGTTCCTCATCTGGAGCATCCCACCACCATGGAGGGAGAAGCTGGAGCTCCTCAGCCAGCATTTCAGAAACAGCTGGGCTTCCCCAAGGAGTCCTGGAGCCACGAAAGCTCCATAAATCTCTAACCCTCTTGGAAATATATTAATTTAAATGCATTTAATTAGTTTTCTTTTTAACACAACAGTACCGAGCCCACCCAGTCGGGTGGCAGTGGCTGGAGGGGGACAGGGAGATGGGGTGAGCACCCCATGCCCAGCGCCGGGCACCATGACCCTGCCACCAAGAGCAGAAGGACCTGGAGGCCACCAGGACCCCTTGTGGGGTGGCTGGAACCCCCCAAACACCTCATCCTGGGTCCTCCTGGTCCTTGGTACCTCCTGGTCCCCCCCTGGAGCATCCCACCATCGTGGAGGGAGAAGCTGGAGCTCTTCACTGGTGCTTAGAGAAGCATTTCAAAAACAGCTGGGCTTCCCCGAGGAGTTCTGGAGCCACGAAAGCTCCGTAAATCTCTAACCCTCTTGGAAATATATTTATTTAAATGCATTTAATTGCTTATTTTTTTAAAAAGAACTGCTCGGACGCTGCCAAGCCCCCGCCGTGCTGCGGAAGAGCAGCTCCGAGCTTTTCTTGAAGGATCCCTCAGAGCTTGAGGGCTTTTCTGGAGCAGCTTCGAAGAGGCTGGAGAGGGTTCAAGCCCTCGAGAGGACTCGCTGGAGAGCTTGAGGGGGCTACAAGCCTTTCTTTTTTGGTGAGTTTTAGGGCAGTTTTGGAGCTGTTTGGGGGTTTTCCGCCTCGCCGCTCTCGCTGGGAGGGGGGTCCAGGGGGGTTTTTCCAACTGTTTGGAGACACTGGAAAGGTGTGGAGGAGTTTTCAGGGGCCTTTCAGAGGGTGTTGGAGCACTTGAGGCATTTCTGGCCCGCGCAGGGGAGGCTGAGAGTGCTTCAGAGCCGCCACAAGATCTGGTGGGTTGGTTTTTTTTTTTATTTATGATCCATTTTGAGCTATTTCAAGGAGTTTTCAGAAGAGTTTAGAGGACTTTTAAGAGCTACTTCGAGCCCCTCCAAGCAGTTTTTACCATCTCGGTGGCTTTTTTAGGGCTGGTTTGAGGAGCCCGAGAGCTATTTGAGCAATTTGAGTGCTTCGGAGCTGCCCGAAGGTCCATCCTTCCAGAGCTCCCAGGGGTTTGGGGGCAGTTTTACAGCCTGTAGGGACCCAGCACCCCCCCCGAGCCCTTTATTTACCCCATTTCTAGAGCAGTCGGGGGTTGAGATTTTCAGAGGAGTTTTTAAAAGGATTTTTTTAGAGAAATCTTGGATGCACACGAGCGGGAGGTCGAGCATTTTTAGAGTGGTAACAAGAGATGTTTTGGAGCGGCTCGGTGCGGCTCGGAGCGCTTCAGAGGAGCAGCTGGAAAGAACTGGGGGTGTTTTTGTGTTTTTGAGAGCTCAGAGGCGTTTCCCAGCACCCAGAGGCGCCCGGAGCCCTTTGCAGCAGCTCCAGGGCTGCTCCCAGAAGTTCAGAGCCAGAGCCCGGAGGCACCACGGGAGCATCCCAGGGTATCCTGCACCTCAGAGCCCTGTGGGGGGGGGGGCTTCTATGGGCTGGGAGGAGGGGAGGAGAAGCTTAGAGGGGTGTGGAGCAGCTCAGCGGCGTGTTTTGGGGCATTTTAAGGGATTTTCAGAGTTGAGCTGAGCACGGGGAGGGGTTCGGTGTGGTAGAGAAGAGGGAAAACCTCTGTGTCCTCACCTGGAACAGCCCCAAGTGAGTCCCCACCGGCGCCGAGGGGGGCCCAGCCTCCTCCAAACCCTCCAGAGAAAGGGGACACCCTGGGAGGGGGGGGGACAAGGCCAGCCCCAAAGGTCCCTCACCCCACTTGGACCCCAAAGGGTGAATCCCCTGCCAAGGTCCCACCATCATGGCTCAGCCCAAGGTTTGGGCTCCCT